CACAAGAAGCACTTACTGCTTAAAGTGCTATTCACATGAAAAGGTAAAAAGCAACAGGAAGCAGAGTGACAATCAGATCACTGATACCACAACACACACTGTTCTCTGGTAGGGCTGATGCATAGTTCAAATCTGTTCTGTCAGCAACCACAACGTGTGTGTGTGTGTGTGTGTGTGTGTGTGTGTGTGTGTGTGTGTGTGTGTGTGTGTGTGTGTGTGTGTGTGTGTGTGTGTGGTGTGTGTGTGTGTGTGTGTGTGTGTGCGTGTGTGTGTGTGTGTGTGTGTGTGTGTGTGTGATTCAGCTGCTGCAGAGGAAGCAGCTGAAGGAAACTGAGGTGTGTTAGTCACACTGAGCACATTATACGGTTGAAAACTGAGAGATCAGCTTGGAACATCAACATTATTTAAGAGGAACACTTCTACTGACTCTATATGTATTCATATCCTTAGGACCATAACATCCACCGTAATATAACTTTACAAGCCATTTAAACACAGGATAGTATAAAGAAATCGCATGCAAACAGAAGAGTTTGACAAGACTTGTCACTTGAGATCAGGTATAGATAATATCAGGAGTATAAATAAATGTTTTCTTTATTTAGAGCAGTGGTTATGCATGTTGCTGTGAATGAGCATAACTTGTGTTTTTGGGGCAGATCTTTGTGGGCCTTTTCTTTTGGCTAACATGCAAAGAACATTTTAGCATACACAGCATGTTTGCAGCTGCATTTTATGGATGATTTTTTTGCAGCCGGAGAGGAAGTTTGGGGTTTTGGTGCTCACCCTCTGACTCAGAGTCGGTCCTCACGGAAGCTGCCGATGCTGGCCTGGGGGGGCGGGGCTTTGGTGTGGGCGGGGACATCCTCTTTCTGCCAATAAACTCCACATACGTTCCCGGGAAGTCGCCTTTCTCCTGTGGGCCAGAGAGAAACACATTAAGAGTTATAAACAAATGGCAAAATCTGACAAAAACTTGTTAACATGTTAACACCACTATGATTTTTGAAGTGTAAAAGTAAATAACCAGAAGTAAAAAGTTAGGCTATAAACAAACCACATCACGGTCAAATTGCTGCACATCTCCACCTCTAAGCTCAAGGCGGCTAATGTTCGGCGGGATGACATTTTGTTGTTTATTTGGTCACTTATTAGCAGCTGCCGTTTTTATGACGTGTAGAAGCTTCAGACATTCACCAGTGCAGTATTCATTCACTGACATATTTGATGTCGTAGAACAAAACATGAAAGTCTCTTAAACTTGTGTTAACCACAGATCTTTTGTCTCTCATCTAACCACAAACACGTTCAAAAATACATTGACTCCTAGATGAGAGAACAAGAAGTGACAAAATGCTAACTCATTTCCGGGATTTAGGACTTGTTCCTGCACCACTCTATAGCTTAACCAGTCCTCACAGTGCCTAACTTGCCCGTGTGGGGTCATACCTGGGTGGTCTCGTTGAAGCCCGGCAGCCAGCCGATCTCTGAAGGTCGCTCTTCGGCTCCGTTGCTGCAGCCGAGTGCCAGCAGCGCTCCTTTACTGACCAGCAGCATGTCTCCCACATGCAGGTCGATGTCCTCCTCCCTCTCCTTCTTGTAGTCGTACAGCGCTCTGTACTGAAAGCCCTCGGAACTCATTGTGAAGGCTGTATGGCTTTTCAATAACTAACAAAAACAGCTCTAAGAAACAAGATATATAAAAATAGGCTTTTATCCTGAGTGGATTTAATGAGGAGAATGTAGACTGAGTAAATATGGCGTTTCCATCCGTCTGTGTGTCTCTCCTGTCTCCATGTCTGCTAAAGTCCTGTCATCCCTCCAGGCCGAGCCTCAGCCGCCCGATCAGAGCATCCTCGCCGTTCATGAACAGAAGTCTCAGAAGAGGCGGCGGCCACATCTGGGGAGGCGACGAATCGACCTGTGAGAGGGGAGAAGGGGAAAGTTTAACGGGAGGCAGCAGCAGATGGAGACAGGAGACACATAGGGCAAACAAAAGTACATCAATACAGAAGACTTGTTTCATGATAGATTCATCACTTCAGTCATTTATGGTCAGTTTCATTCCACAGGCCATAAGACTGTTAAACACCGGAACTAGGGAGGCTGTGGCTCAGTGGACAGTGTGCTGGACTTCGAATCAGGGGATAGCAAGTTCGAGTCCCACTGCAGTCAGCATGTCGTTGTGTCCCTGGGCAAGACACTTCACCCCAAATTGCTCCTGTGGGGATTGTCCACCGTACTGAATGTCTGTAAGTCGCTTTGGATAAAAGCATCTAACAAATGACATGTAATGTAATGTAATGTAACTAAGAACATCCATAACATTCACCTGTTTGCAACTTACAAATTATTTATCACTTGTATATAGACTCTTATGGCACTACTTCTATTCTATTTTATTGTATTTACTTGCACTATGTTGTCTGTTTTATTGTGTTGCACTGTTGGAGGAGCCTGGGACCTAAGATTTTCATCGACATAACTACACTGTAGCTATGTACGAATGACAATAAAAGCCTTGAATCGTGAGGCGCACAAGTCCAAATATTCTCTGGCTCCATCCTCTCCTGTATAAATATTTTCTGCTGTTTTCTATCACAGGAAATTGATCAAATCTTTGGGTTTTGGAATGATGGTCAGACGTGCACTCCGTTGCAGTGGCTGTCTTGGCGAGTTTTCCTTGTTTTCATCAAGAAAAGGATTTTAGCATGACGTGTGTCAGTAAACTTGCAAACATTGCACATCACTGCATTAATGTAATATTAATACTCAAATGTGCTTGCAGCCCTGGAAAAAACTAGTGTAAACTAAAGTTTCCAATGCAATGGTCAGCCCTCTCAACATTTAAAAAAGAGACTTCTTATATTACTCATATAAAAATGATCTATGAAGATTAAAATAGTTTTTTTTATTACATTATATAATTTTCTACGTTTAATTGTTTTCCTTTGTAATTTTATATATTTTAGTAAGTAGCATTGTTGGAGGCAACCTGAAAACAAGATGTCCTTGCCTGTAGTTTGTCATGACAATGACAATGTAAGACTGCACTGTAATTGATATTAAAAATCAATAACATATTTATAAACGTCATCATAATGTAATTAATATACAATATTAAACTAGAGCTGAAAAGATGTTCGATTATTAATATTGTAGTTGATAAACAGGAAACAAATACAAAATTAAGAGAAATACTAATTCATGTTTAAATACAAAATAAAATCTGTGGTTTCTTTCTGCCTTCTGCTAAAAAATAAAACGAACTTGCTTAGAAAACAGAAAGATTGATTATATTATGTCTGATAGTGTGTTAGGTTAAATATTTTAACTTTTTATTGATCAGTAATGAAGCGCCGAAAAGATTTTTTTTTTGTAATGTCTAACATTGAACAATATATTTTCAATATATTTTCCCCCACAGCTCACTCAAAAACCAAACAAAAACAAAGCGAGTGTTAAAGGGCCTTCGTTAGGTAAACAGTCCATATCAGTTCCTGTCGGGAGATTATCAGAGCAGAGCAGAGCTACATGTAATGTCATTATTAAAATGTAAGTATACACTTATTTCAGACACATTACTTATCCCGAAGAGATATTTGTTTTTAAAGTGTCAAACATAGATCACTAGACATATTAAGCCTTTTATGAATGTATGCTTATAATCGCATACAACATGCTGAATTGTAAAGGGGCTTTCGTTACGTAAACAGTAGAGTACAAATAACTGATCAGACCGGACATTGAAGGTACTTTCCGAATATCGATGTTAAAAAAACAAAGCCAAAGTAAGTATTGTATTCCTGTCTATCCTCCAATATTGAGTTTGTTGTGCTAATTGTTAACAAAAAGTGTAATAAAAGCATCAGACATTATGAACTGAAGCGGAAACGGGAAACTACAATGCATGCCAGTGTTAGCTTAGCCTGCTAGCTTCGGTGTCAGTCGCTCCAAACGTCTCACCTTTTTTCACCAATTAAAACCTCCAGAAGAGCGAGCAGCAGTCGCCATAACGGAGGATTGACCACAAAACGACGAACAGGTATTATCAAAACTCGAAATATTCCAATATATCTATCGATTATTTCCAATAAGGAGACGCTCGTGGTTCAGCCGTCTCGTATTAAGCCTTTGGGTCGTTTTGCCAAGAGTATATTCACTTCCGGTATAGTGTCAGAATAAAACACGATTTACGGAAATTAAATACCCAAAAGTTCTAATATAGATTTACTTAAAAGGGAAATCTTTTAAAACACCTCTACAATTCGGAACTTTGAATTGTATTATTTTTGTTGATGATATATGTGGTTCTATTTGATCATCTCTTTTTTAGTATTTTATTTATTTGTCAATAAATAACATTATGCAGCTCATGTAAACTGTTATTCCTTACATGTATTTAAATGACACATTTTACTTCTTAAAATTCGTCATAAACATGAACTGTGTCAGAGTACAGGGAGCAGAATTGACAAGTTCCGGATGTCTTTCAAAATAAGATACCACTGGCGAACATGTGATGCAAAATGAATGCGTTAGACAGCAACCTCGAGAAAATAATGTATTTTAAGGGGTATAGTTTAGACATATGAACTTTATATCGGATTTTTCTCACACAATTCTTGTTAGATCGCTTTAAAATACCAAAAACGTGAATTAAACAGATTACAACCGATTATAGCTGGGCTGGGAGGCAGGGCACTGATGTCACATCCGGTGACCTAGATTTGTAATGCAGTGTGCTGTACTGTCAAACAGGGGGAACCATAGCAACAAACGAGCGAGTGGGTGAAGGGGGTGTAATGTATTCATGCTGTCCTCATTTATTCAGGTCTTATACAAGCAGCACTGTCTCATGTGTGTATCCGTGTGTTGTTCTGTTAGTGAAAAGCACTGGGGGTGACTCCCGTATCATGTGACTTCTGCTGCGGCTTTTCCAGAACACACTGCACATCACATGCAGTGCTGTTCATCCATACATCACTACAGACCATTAATTAAAAACAAATAAACCTTTATTTACATTGCAAAGTGAAGAGATATATTATTTAAATACAATCTAAAGCATCTCTTAATGAATTCATAAGCATTTAAAAACAAACTGGAATTTGGCACAAAATTCAATTTTGGTTGAGGCTTCAATCCCCTTCAGTTCAGCTCAATCATTAATGAAGTATATTTATATGAATTATTAAAAAATCACACACTTGTACAATGTGGTCATGAGAGAAATAATGTTACATTTGAAAACAGGCAATTAAAAAAATTGTTGTGTATGTGGTTTACTAGCTTTTATGACTGAATGTATGTTGAATTGCTGATGATTTAAAAACGGTTGTGTGTTATATATACAGTCTATGGTGTTAACATGTGGATCAGTATCCTGGTTATGATCATGTTTTTGGAATATTGGTGATGAGTATTGACTATGGATAGTGGTTAGCATGCCCCAGTTTGTAGAAGCAGCCAGTAATCTAAGCAATTTACTGATGTGGAAGGGTCATCAGCAAAACTTATTTTAGCCACCTTGAAACCATTTTCAAACAGTAAAGATAATATCAATATCAGTGAATTCTTTATTTAGAATATTTCCACTGCTTTACCTTATCGTCAGACAGCCCTTTCCAACTGTATGTAATTGCAATAAACGGCAACTCGTATGTAATAGTATCCTATTTTGTTAGTAGTACGTTGATCTACTTTAGTGTAAAATAACAGATTCTGTAAAGGTATATAGTGTGTGCGATGGAAATACTGCAAAGATAGATATGTTTTTACTGTTGATAAATACTTTTTGTGTTTCCGTTTTATTATTTTGAACTCGAGACCATTATATATTGAAAGCCTTGAACTTGAACATGGGAGCTGCTGGTCTGTGTGCTCCGGTCGTTATAGTTTGTTTGTGCTGTTGAGTGACTTTTGTGTTATAAAGGGTTAGTTCAGAGAGACAGCTCAGTTTCTGGCCAAAAAAGGGCTGTAACAGAAAGCTAAAGCGGTGAGATATTCTAAGGCCAGGTGTCCACATAGCGTCACCTTCTGACATCAAGGCACTGTGAGGGCTCTTGGCAGTGCCTCCACCCAGCGTTTCATCTAACAAAAAAAAGAAAACTTCTCCTACAATTTCTACAGTGACGTTACCAGTGCTTTTCTGAAAATGTCATTCTTTTCCCCAACTGCACGAAAATGGCTCAGCGCTGAGGACAAAGATGCTAGATGCAGAGCTTTTACATTAGACAGCAGAATTCAACGGCTCCCTTCCCATTAAAAACATTGAAAAATGACACTGGCTCTCAGAAAAAGGCGCTGTGTGGACACAGGCCCTAAATATAAGCTTCCACTTAAATTGATACTGATTCTTTCAAGGTGCATAAAATGTGTTTTGCTGTTGGTATGCTGGATACATATAATACACCTTGATGGAGGTCAGGTGATATCATTAGGATTCTTCCAGCCCGAAGCTTGGAAACAATTTCAAGTCAAGTATTTCATCATAAAACAGAACTTTGATTATAAGCATATATTAATGTGTTTGCTCTTCTGGATCTCATCTGAAGCTGTACAACATCACTGGAGTCCGAGTCAGGCTGATCCACCTGTTGTGCGTCTACATGCTGAAGATGTTGTCCAGCCTGTGAACCGACAGGCGGATCCTCCCCGTCAGCTGCAGCTCGTCCTTTAGGAGAGACCCCACCTGCTCCGAGTGGACCACGTCACAGAACACCCAGATCTCCGCCCGCTCCCTCTGGATGTTGGCGTTACACGTCGGTAGAGTGGAGCTCTGGACGGAGCGGTTCAGAGATCGCCACACCTGCAGGGACGAGGACAGACAGGTGGCGTGAGGTGGGAACCATGAAGCTAAATAAATACTGAGGAAAGAGAAAATAAATTCACAAGATTGAAGTGATTTGTGAATGTATTCCTCTGGTTCATTCACTTATCAGTTGCATGTCATGATTCATCAATATAACCAGATTAAAACACAACTAAACAAAACTGATATCATTTACGAAAACATGACCAGTGTTCATTTTGTAGACGTCAAACTTTACGTAGCATTAAAACTTTCATACAGAACCATGGTCAGTTATGGCTAGTGCGATTGTTCAAAAGAATAATAAAGATTGGTACAAACTTTGGTTATCACAATATCTTAATTTCCTAAATGATATTCAAATTGTGTCTGTGTCTATGTATACAATGAACGATGAGTTATGGGTGAAAGTAGAAAATCCCTCCTGATAAAGAATGTATTTCTTTTTTAATATTATTTAGTTTTTAATACCCTATTTTCTTGAATTTTAATATAACGTTAAACAGGGGATAAAAACATTAAAATACAATGTGAGGTTATTTCAGACAGGGATTTATGTTTGCCATAAATGACTATTTATTTCTATTAGTTATGAATTATTGAGGAAATGTTTGATTGTGAATGTTATGCTTGGCTTAATGGTGTAAAAGACAATCTGGCTCACTCATTTTGTTAATTGTTAATAACATGAGAAGAGCAGTTTTGTTTGTTGTGTTTATGTGGCTATAGAGTGTAAATGCCATATGTTATTTATGTATTTGTATATTTATTAAGTATCAAACAGATATATTTAGTAACTATTTATATTTAAACATTTCTTTATTAAATAATCTTTACAAATGTATTTCAACATTCTGGTAAAGTGCATTTAAGTGATGACCCTGATTATTGCTACTATCTCTGCTTTATCTCTGCTTTTATGGATGTGTTCTTATTTATGTACTGCAGTGAGAGATGCCAACTGAATTTCGTTACACTGATGTGTGATGACAATAAAGATATTCTATTCTATTCTATTCTAAATGTCTGTGGAACCCAGAAAGAATAGCACAAGCTCATGTTGTCCTAATGGTGACACAATAGACTATTAGACCAGAAAATTGCAAAAACTGAGAGTAATTTTTGCCCACTGTATTCAAATTAAAATGATTAAACCATCAGTCAAAATCACAGAAATATTATGCAATATTAAAACAAATTAAATTCTCACGAGCTCAAGGTTGTTTAAAAAAAGTAGCTAGTTTTTAAGTAGTTGCAGATTCTTATTTCCGTCTTTATGCTTATTGTTGGAGCTTTAGAAACACTTGTTAAAGATCTTGTGACTTGATGCATCTTCACCCTGAGCTCAGTTTAAACCTTTTGATGTGCTGAGCGCAGTGGAAAAACAAAGTGAAGGACAGAGGTCCAGATAAATATCGGCAGTCACAAACAAACAGAAACATAAACACAACATCCAACCTGTTACGTCAGCATTTACCGTACAGCGCAGACCGTTTACTAAGAACAAGTCGCTGACCCACAAGGGGCAAATTCCCAAAAGGAATGCATAGTCTTTTTTTAGCTCGATCAACATGCAAAAATAATGCTGAAATAAGATTGTACGTGTATATCTCAGAGTACCTGCAAAGGGTGACACACGCAAAAAGCGTATTGGTGTTCCTGCCTCATTAGCTAGTATTAAAATGAGGTAATATGGATACATTTCAGGCAAAATGTACACCTTCTTTGCAATGAACCATATAATGCAAAAAACCTTCCAATTCACAAAGATCAGCGCTGATAGCCACAGCTTGAAAAAATTACCAATTACAATTATTTTAATTATTATATGATTCAGGATATTTTAGATATTGATCATTTATATTCATAATTCTCATGATTAATTCAATGTAAATAAATGATAAAAGACCTTTGAAGTCTCATATATGAGCTATCATTCCTCTGTTTTTAGATAATAATAAAACAAAAACTCTCCAGTATCAAAGACTTATTTCACTTCAGGGTGATAGCAGGACACCCGATCTAGTCACTGAGAGAATATCAGGACAATCTGATGTAGAGTTTCACCCTGAAGTGAAATAAGTCTTTGATACTGGAGAGTTTTTGTTTTATTCTTATCTAAAAACAGAGGGATGATAGCTCATATATGAGACTTCAAAGGTCTTTTATTTTGAAACTCTACATCAGATTGTCCTGATTCTCTGAGTGACTTGATGGGGTGTCCTGCTATCACCCTGAAGTAAAATAAGTCTCTGATACTGGAGAGTTTTTGTTTTATTATTATCTAAAAACAGCGGGACAATAGCTCATATATGAGACTTCAAAGGTCTTTTATTTTGAAACTCTACATCCGATTGTCCTGATTCTCTCTGAGTGACTAGATGGGGTGTTCTGCTATCACCCTGGAGTGATATTAGTCTTTGATACTGGACAGTTTTTGTTTTATTCTTATCTAAAAACAGATATGAGATTTCAAAAGTATTTTATTTTGAAACTCCGTAAGTTTTACATTCACTCAGTTATAATGTGGTAGTTATACGTAGTTTGTTTTAAATAATTATTGATCACATTATATAGTACATATTTCTTAATTTAAGCTGCAGTATATATGAATATGTTTGGTATGTTTTTTAGGTATATTTGTTATTGACCGAGTAAGCGCTTTTATTTTGAAGGCAGTTTTTCCAGGCCTCTACCGTAATGCATAGGATATTTGCGCACAGCAATATACAACGTGCGGGCTGGCTTGACTGTGTTAGTGATGGGAATTCCGGCTCTTCTTGGTGAGCCGGATCATTTGGCTCGGCTCACCAAGAAGAGCCGGCTCTTTCGGCTCCCAAACGGCTCTTCAGTTTACCACATATTATACCTTTTATAATTCAATCAAATGTAGCCCTGTTTTGACTAATGATTTATATGTGTACACATATCACTTAAATTATTCAATACATCCTTTGTACTGAAGTATTCAAAAGTAAAAATTACATGTTTAATATAAATTATTTGCTGTGGCCAATTGTTTTCATTGCATTTACAGACCCTTTTATCTCTCTGATACCACCCAATGAATGCACTGACTTGCTTGTAGAACCACGCTACACAAAGCAGATAGCAACACCTATAAAAACTTAAGCATAGACATTTAAAAAAAGGGGCTACTGTATCGACATTTTAAAATTATATTTAAAGAAAAGGCCCTGACAAAACAGCAGGGCTCTATTTCAGTATTAACTATAGAAAAAAAGACAGCAACAGCTGACATCAAATCTTTGCTAAGCCTAAAGATAATCATAAATAAATAACATAGTGAAAATAAATATATTGCAATGCTCAGTACAGCAGCATCCAACCGTCTCTAATCATAAAAAAACATAATAAAAATAAATGTATTGCAATGCTCAAAACAGCAGCATCCAACAGTCTCTAATCCTTGGATATTAAATGCCACTGCATGCATGCACGGAGCAGCTGTAGCGCGGAAATCATCATATCATTCTGTCTTGTATTACTTAACAAAAAATAACAAAAACAAAAAAACGGCTCGTTCGCGGGCGCGAGCCGGCTCCCGTCGTTCACTTAAAAGAGCCGGCTCGTTCGCGACCGACACATCACTAGACTGTGTTTTCCGAAGTGGAGGCTGGCTTGACTGCAGTGTCTTTAGAGAGTTGGTGGGAACTGAAACACATTAATAATGGGTCAGAATTTCCACTGATCGTGATAACATGAAATATTTGCCGCCAGCAATACCAGACTGATATATTAAAAAACAAATTGGGGTTTGCCTCTGTCACAATTAAATTACTTAGCTCACGGCTTCAATTTTTTTTTCTCTGCCATTGTTCAACTCACTGAGTTCTCGGCACAAAGGCAACTTTTTGGCAAAAACTTATTACAACCAGACGCAGAATAAAAAGACAAAATGCACTTGGCTTCAAAATGTTTTGGTGCGTTTGCAATGTAATTTGTAGTGCAGTATCTTTTGTGTAGCGAACCCTAAGGGCAGAAAGTGTTCGAATTCATGGAGAAGTGGCCGCATTCCATTCTTTGTGAATTCACCCCCTGAATATTATATAGGAAACATTCTTATACATTTTAATGTTAGCATGATGATAGCCTGAGGTTCAAGGTGCACATTACATCACTGCATCGTGCAAGAATTATCTTAGGGTTGTGAAATGAAGGCAAAAAACGACGAAAATATTAATAATATTCAGCCTCACAGAGCTGCTATGGCAACAATATTCTTAGTCTGGATCCATTATTTATCTACTGACCTGTTCGATGTCCCTGGTCGCCCCACAGTTGTGCTGCCTGATCACCCATTTGGCCCTCTGGTGGAGGTGGAGCCTGTGGAGGGACACCATGTGACGGAACTGTTTGGACAGAGACTGGGAGCTCTGCATACCTCCCTTCTGTGAGAAAATGCTCCAGGACCGTTTGACCGGCGACTCTGTGACAGGAAAGACATCTTTGTGTTTCTCAGTGTGAAGTCTGGGGACCTCTCTCTCTGGGAACAGATAGTTTGGAGTTTCGGAGATGCAGGCGACATCTTTGGGTTCTTGTGGATTTTCAGGTGTCTCCGCAGGTGGACCATCAACTTCAGGTTTCTGGGGCTGGATCTGAGGGGTGTGCGTCCTGCTGTCGGAGAAGAAGAAGTCATCCGAGCAGGTGATGACAGGAGCAGGTTTGGCGGGTCTGATGGGCAGGTGGTGGTCTGTGGAGGAGGGGTACCAGCGGGTGAAGACTGGAGGAATCCGACAGGGGAAAGGCTCCAGAAGCTTCTCTGTCCTCTCTAACAGAGAGCTGAGCCCAGCAGCTGATCCAGGCTGATAGTGCAGAACCACATCCTCCATACAGATCAGAGGACAGACTGAACTAACCTCCTCCTCATCTTTCGCCTCATGATGTTGCTTCAGTTAGAAGCAACTGATGGTGGTAACACAGCAGCATGCAATCCAAGTTGTCTGTGAAAATTCAGATACACTGGTTACTTAAATACAGTCACAGTACTCTATTGTGCTTTTTGGGGATTTCCCTTTCCTGTAGTGTGTTATATAGGTTTTGGCGCATGCAGGGGCGGATCTACCGGGGTGGCATGGGGTGGCAATTGCCACCCTAAAAAATAGCCTTGCCACCCCAGTTGGCATCTTTGTTTTGAAAGAAAAGTTGTGGCTCATCTGACATTTATGAGAGAAAATCCCTAATGTCCGAGTGCAAGTGAATGCAGCACAAGACGCGAGTCTTGTAACCCCTCCCCCGGCGCGAGCTTGGAAATATGATTGGCGGCGATTTCATTTGAACGGGACGGCGCAAAACGAGAAGCATTCTGACCCAAGTACTGAAGGAATGAGGTATTTGAGGTCCACAATGACAGAGAAGAGACTGTCAAGTTTGGCTGTACTCAGCATTGAATCAAAACGCACTAAAGCTTTACATCTTAATACGTTTGTGAGGTGTTTTGCTGAACAAGATGGTAATCGCCGCATTCAGCTGTTATAGGCATGCCAACTTGATGCTCTGCTCACGGATGACTCGATGAGCATAAAACTGTTAAGATGATGACCTTGTATGTGTGTATATTTTTTTTTTCTTTGTGGGGGTCTGCCCCCTAAAAACTGTTTTAAGTCCTGAGAGAGTCAAATAAGACGGTGTGTAAAACTACACTGCCCTGCCAAAAAAAAGTAACCACTTTGATTTAACTAGGCCAGTAGGTAAGGACTTTCCACTGGATAATAACTTACTGAAGCGATGTATACGTTTTAGCTGAATACACGTTTTTTAACCCTAACTGATGCAGTTAGTCACTTCTTTAATGTTTGTTCTTTCTGATGTAAAGTCAAGGTTGTAACTGTTTGCAGTAAAGTCGTGGGGCGCTGAACTGTTCCTTTGAATCTTTTGAATTTTGATATGATATAATTACTTGTCTTTCAAATTTGAAGGAGGGTGAGCAAGCATCATGAGGAACATTCATCATTAACTCCTCCAAAAAATATATTTTATTCAATAATAAATGAATATGTGAATCATAACAGTGATTGACAGCTGATACGAATAATATGATTGTTAATAGTATCATATTCATTCAGACAAACATCGATGAGACAGTTAATTAATGTACTTATTGCAGCAGTCTTCATAGATTTGGTACCCCTGCTGGTCTAAGAGTGAAACAAACTCATTCAGTTATTGTTCAGTTAAAATGCATTACATTATGTCTGCCACCTTATATATTTATATGTACTGATGTGCCACAATAATGTCACCTATGTTATTGAGTTAACATATTAATATTGTGGCTTTCCAAGTTAACATTGATTGATATGACTGCGATTAAATCAGCATATACTTCTGCCAGGGGATGCCACCCCTCAAAATCTCCTGCCACCCTATGAATATTTGTCTAGATCCGCCCCTGGGCGCATGTAAATGGTCTGCAGAGGGAGTTTCTCTCCCACACACTCCTGGGATTGGGACTGAGATCTGGTTTGGGGTGAAAAGAGGTGCTACAGCACAGGCAGTACGAGAAAAATAAAGACCCTTTTGAACATTAGCGCATGGAAACAAGTCCCACAAAACATGATTGTCCATCACAATTACGCTTCTTCCTTTATACGACCGTTTCAGTTGAATACAACTTAAACGGGTTGGTAACACTCCTGTGGTGTCTAGTCCAAATCTCTCTCACTGGAAGCTAATGTTTTTAGCTTGCTGTGCTAACCGACGTCGATGAAAACTAAGGGATCTAGCTACCAAACTAGAAAGCACAGTGGCACCGATACAGGTATCCAGTGGGTAGCTAACACTACCTTGAACAGTCCAATAGCACTAAACACCTACCTTTATATCAGCTGAATGATGTCCTTTATTATTATAAGCAGCCAACAAGGAGTTAAACCTGGATTTCTAATGGAGACATTTTATTGTCGCGCTGCCCTGGGTGAAATCTCGCGATAGTTCAAGTAACGCGCAGACGCAGTCAGAGCCTGTTCAAACTACAGTGTTGTTTCATTACATTGTTACTTTCAATTTGTATTTGTTTGATGTGAAACTCAGCACAATCAACTTAATTTTATTTTCATTATGGATTAATATAGAGTGGCGAAGTCACGCCCACCTACTTCCGGGTAATGGGACCTTATTTCGGAAAAATTATGCATTGAAGTCAATGGGGAGAGAAAACTTATCTTTCGATCCCGTTTGAATTGTGCCATGAATTACACATATGTTTGTCAATCTTAAAAAATTTCCATGTCAAAAAAGTCACAGTTTGTCGTAAAACTTGAAATATAAGACTATGAAAAATACGTAACTAGAAAGACTACAAATCCCAGAGTCGCGTAAGTGATGTCACAATTGTTTTCCTCCACCATTCAGATACCTAAGATCAGCGCAATATAGATATAATCTATCTATATGGCGCTGGCTAAGATAAGATAACTTTAACAAGATGCCTGTGTGCTTAGTACCAGGTTGTTATTATACCAGCAATGGGTCTTGCTCGTTCTTTTGCTTCCCGTCTGATGAAAGGACCAGGAGTGGCTTGATCAAGTTAGCTACCTAGCTAGTAGCTAGCACGTTAGTTAGCATTACAGCCTTGTCATTTGTATTAGCCTTAACATGAAGTAACATTAAGTAACCCAAAATGTTAAACAGTAAGAGTAGTAGTCATATTTCGTGAACCCTTTGAATAGTACTGTCACCGGTGTGATCATTCTATAATACACCATTTAAGCCCGGGGGAGAAATGCTAACGCTAACGTTAACGCTAATGTATTACTTCACAGTTTTACGACTGTGAAGTAATACATTTGTTTGTGTGAAACGCTCAATGAACTACATCTCTGGTCAACAACACACGTCACCAAGATGGCCGTCACTACTGTCTTGTCAACACAACGATTGACTACCCTCACTATCACCACAATGAAACACGTCCTGAAGAATGTCATGCAAAGCTGCCTGCCTGCCTTCCGTTGATTCTCTCTTTACTGCCTGGTCGTTTTAATGTTTAATGTCAACCATGTGTGCAGATAGCATTAAGTAGAGAAGATCGCCGATGCTAACGTTAGCGTTAGCATTTCTCCCTACTCATGTGCAGCCTCGATATTTCTCCAAACGGAGTACGCCGGGCTCGGTAGATTTCCAAGTATGCTGGAGATTGGAACAGTACTTCGGCGGCACTCGATGACGTAGTATGCTTGAAATAGTGGCTCTGCAGCAGCTTTACTCGCGATTGAGAAACACCCTGAGACATCCCTTCACAACTACCCAGAACTTAACCACTGCAGGCCTAAGAAACGGTAAGCTGTTCCTAGAAAGAAACTCTATACTTCCCAAACTTTTCTTGTGAATTTGTGACTTTATTCAAAGTATCTATTTACTTTATGAGTTGGAATATAACTCCCTTTCCTGACATAGGTTTTTATTTGTATTTGTTATACTTACAATAGTCAGAACTGCGTTGTAGAATTGAAAGAAGCGACACTGACGCAGAGCAGTAGTTTGTCAACAGGACATCTTTATTTTCATACGTCTGTTGTCTTTATTCAAATTACAGTAATATACTTGCTGAGATGACCACCGGCTGCAGCCTGGACAGCTAAAACTGACAGCTGTACTACTTGAAGCAAACTTTTTTTTTACCATTTTTTTCTCCTTTTTTAAAATTATCCTTGCAACAGAAAAAAGCAAATATACCATGAAGAAGTGTGGTGTGGTGGTGACGTCGTCAGGTAGGTAGGGTTATAGTGCTGGTCTAAAAAAACGAAGAAAAAAAAAACAGAAGAACAAAAGAAAGAAACATTGCGCGCGTTGTACATGTTGTAAAAGGATCACAATATGGCACATTTGGTCCACGTTGGTAGTTTTATCTCATTTCAAACATGTAATAAACAAAAAGAAGGAAAAGGAAACAGATCATAGTTGTACATGTTGTTTTTCCCCAGAAGCACAGCATTAATGACAGCATATTGAAAACAAGACTAATCTTTAGGTTTCTCTCTTTTTGTTAAAATCTTGGTTCGTCAGCCAATCGTTTGTTTCTATTCTCCCTGGTACAGTATTATTATTAATATCTTCTTTCCATCCAAAATGAAGGGGAGTGAAGGGATTGGGGTAAGAGGGGGTGGAGCTATGTGGGTGATTGACAGGCATGGCTTTGGACATTCACAGGAAGTAGTCAGGAGTGCGTCTGGTCACATGGGGCTCGCCGCGGCGGGGGGCGGGGTCAAACTGAAGGCTGAGGAGGCAGAAAAGGTTTGTTATTAAACACGATTAAAACAATATTCTTAATATTCTCATCTCAAAGTGACAAGGAAGGTGTAAGCGGTAGAGAACGTAACGCAACGTATAGAGATTTAAATGTACTATCATTTTGAATATTCTGACTTTTACATCCTTTACATTACAGACTGCAAATATTCTGTGCTCTTTACGCCATCAATTATTTGAATTTAAGTGTTAACTACTGTGAACAAATAAGAGCACTTACAATCTGTTTACTAAATTGCAAAAGCTGGTCAAATTTCCAATAGTACATTTCTCTTTTATATTTAACGTTTTAAAAATTGCATTACTTTATTATTTATATTTATAAATGTGACTTATGAATGTAAATTCTTAGCAATAAACTTGGTTCTGATTTATATATTAAAAAGAAGGTAAGCAAAAATATTCAAAATGGCAATATGGGCGTGTGCAATTTCCAAATTGCAGTATGTGCAACATTAAAGACCAACCTTTAAATAGTATCAGGGTATATGCAGGAATCCTGAAGTCAAATGTAATACCTTTTAAGACCCTTTCCATACATTTTAAGACCTCATCGCCACTTCGAGTTTTAACCGGTTACATTGGCGACACATTTACTATATACAGTATTGATTGTCCTTCCTCCTTATCTTCCAACCATTTGGACACATTGCATTTCCCCATAACGATGTTGTTTAACAACCGGCGTAAACGGACCTTTGCGCGCTATCAAGCAGTGAGCGTGCGATGTCCTGTTCAGATGACGTCAAACCCAACGGGATGCCATAAATAAACTACACAGAATCACACTACACACCTACGCAATGATTACATTCAGGCAGACCGTAGAATACAACCTCTTTGGACAATTTATATACTTATTGAAAACAAGCTACAAAATGTAATACCTTGGAAAATGCAGTTTAATACTTTTGAATAGCCTTAATTTTCGCTAAATTAATTTACCAACTTTTAATACTTTTTAAGTCACCGCGGACACCCTCAGTATTCTCCAGACATATTAAAAAAACATTGTTTGGTGCAGATCCTCTTACCAATAAAGTAACTGCACCATTTCCATGGCTTTCACTGTTATGCCTTTTCAACAAAATGGATCTCACTACACTCACACTGACAGCAGCAGAGGCTTCACTTTGAGTAGCAGCTAATGGAGCCAGATATCATCTAAGTTATTAGACTGAAAAGGTCCTTTTGGTGCACGTTATGAATCACAACATAGACCCCTTACAGGTTGTTAAAGAAAAAAACTCAGGCCGTATTTCAGCCCTAAGCGAAATTGAAATAAACAAAGTGTTTATACTTACAAAGAATATTTCAGAGTGTCGTCCAGTTCCATGATGGCTGCCTGGTTTCCGCAGCGGTAGCAGTAGTTTGGAGCACTAAAGATGGTCACCACATTCTTATCATGACCCCAGTTGTAGCCCTGAAAGTGCAAAAGCATGTTCATTGTTAAATGTTTTCATGATACTGTATTCATCCGTAAAAGGGACAATAACACTGTATCAGTGATGGAAGAAGTACTCTTCCATTAGTATTCTTCACATAAATAACAGTAAAGTAATACTAAAGGGTACCATTCCCAAGTAAAAGCCCTGCTTTTGAAAGGTTGCAGGAGTTAAACTCAAATTCACGTTAGTTACATTAAGTCCTCAATATGCTGAATGGGTCAATTTAGAATGATATAAATATATTATAGGATTTTAATTATTCATGCATTAATGTGCTCAACACTTATTGCTGCTGGTAGAGCACTTTTTGTTTTACTTGATATATTTATGATATCTTGTGTTTCCCACTGAGGATCAATAAAGTCTTATCTTAACCTACCATTAACCAACATAAAGTGTTTGTGATATATTTGGATGTATGCGTTTGAATCTGAAAAGTACAGAAGAATAATGAATTCACTTTTATTCAAAGTGCATTCTGGCTGGCATCAACAAACTGAACATGCAGACATGTTAGCTTTCATGAAATCAAGCTCTGTTTGGGCTTTGAAAGATCAAAGGCAAGGCAAATCTTTTTTGCATAATGCTTCCAAAGAGAAGAAGTTTCAGTAATCATGAATAAATGCAGCATTATTTATAGCTAAATGCTTACTTAAGTCGATCTGTTTTTATAGGCTGATGAGCAAATATATATATTTTAAATAATATAATACTTTTTCTCTTATAGTCTGCAACAGCCCAGTAATATAAATAGATTTCACTTGAACACAGAGTGTGTGTCGGATGAAGCTGGTACAGAAACAGCAACAGGAGGAGTACTGCACTGCTCCAACGGCATTACATTGGGTTGCCATGGAGACGCGAGCTTCAGTCCACTGAGCATGTGTCAATTTGAAGGAAATAAAAGGGCTAAAGCTTAAAACAATAAATGTGTTTATACATTTCAAACACCCGACATCTTCCAGGGGAAATTCAACTACCGGTGTTGTTCTATAATCTAGCAGGAACTAAACCCGACTTCATTGGTTAGTTCAGTGAAAGGAAATGTAACATTTACTGGATCCAGCTTTGTACATTTGAGATGTGCTGCTAGTTTTAATCTTACAAGATAGTACACTAAATATTTGCTATCTGTCCCAGAACCTGAACTTAATGATGTATTTTTATAATAAATGGGTTGCATATTAATTAAAATAACAGTTAGTTGCATTGCTATCCTACAAATTGTTGTCATGTATGGTTCCTTTGTTAACAGCTGCATTTGATGCCTTGTTGTTAAAA